TTTGGGGCACCTCCACCTAATGGGTGGTGCTTGTTAGCAATGCACTCAAAAAAAGGTTTCGTCATTTCCAGACTGAACACGCTGTGACAGAGGACAGGTTTTAACTCCCAGGTAACTGCGGTGATGTTGGTGACAAGGATGCAGGTGAATTCTGGTGTAGCACACTGAGGTCGGACAGCAAACAGCACGGTTTCTGTTCTCATACTCACAGATATTTTTGTGGACTAAATGGATTACTGGCATAATCTCTGAACTCTTAATAGCTAAACCCTCTGTCATACAATTTAATTCCTGATATTTGTTCATTTCTCCTTCCAATTTCATGAACTTTCTTTTTTATTTATTTATTTATTTATTTATTTATTATTTATTTATTTATTTATTTAATTTTTATCCTCACCCGAGGACATTTTTTTTTTTTTTGTTCAGGTAGAGTGGGAGGGAGAGAGAGGAAGAGAGAGAGAGAGAGAGAGAGAGAGAAACATCAATGTGAAAGGGACACATCGAGCGGCTGCCACCTGCACGACCAACCAGGGCCGGGGACAAACTGCAACCAAGGTACATGCCCTTAGCGGGAACCGAACCCGGGTCTCTCGGGACCGAAGGCCGACGCTCCAACCGCTGAGCCAAACCAACCAGGGCCAATTTCATGAACTTTCAATGTCCTTTTATCTTTTGAAAATTTCCTTTAAATTTTTCAATTACAGCCTGGCCGGTGTGGCTTAGTGCTTGAGTGTGACCCATGCATGCGAGAGGTCACCGATTCGATTCCCGGTCAGGGCACATGCCCAGGTTGTGGGCCCGATCCCCAGTGGGGGGCGTGCAGGAGGTGGCCAGTTGATGTTCTCTCTCATTGATGTTTCTGTCTCTCCTTCTCCCTTCCTCTCTCTCTCTCTAACATCAGTAAAGAAAAAATTTTTTTTCAATTACACTTGACATACAATATTCTTTTAGTTTCAGGTATACAGTATAGTGGTTAGACAATCAAAACTTTACAAAGTGGTTCTCCAATATTTCAAGTACCCATCTGGAACTATTACAATATTATTGACTGTACTCCTTCCCTATGCTGTACTTTATATCCCTGTGGATATTTTTAACTACCAATCTGCACTTCTTTTTTTTCTTTTTTTTATCCTCACCCGAGGACATTTTTTGTTCAGATAGAGAGGGAGGGAGAGAGAGGAAGAGAGAGAGAGTGAAGGGACACATCGAGTGGCTGCCACCCACACGACCAAGCAGGGCCGGGGACAAACTGCAACAGAGGTACATGCCCTTAGCGGGAACCGAACCCGGGTCTCTCGGGACCGCAGGCCGACGACACTCTAACCTCTGAGCCAAACTGGCCAGGGCCAATCTGCACTTCTTAATCCCTTCACCTTTTCCACCCAGCCCCCACCCCTTGCCCCCCTCCCCTCTGGCATCCTGTGCTTTTATCTTTTGTTGTTGTTGTTAATCTTCACCAGAGATATTTTTCCATTGATTTTTAGATAGAGTGAAAGGGAGGGAGGGAGAGAGAGAGAGAGACATCAATGTGAGAGACACATCGAATGGTTGCCTCCCACAGGACCCTGACTAGGGCCTGGGGCTGGGGATTGAACCTGCAACCCAGGAAAGTGCCCTTGACTGGGAACTGAACCTGAGACTCTTTGGTCCTCAGCCTGACATTCTAACCGTTGAGCCAAACCAGCCAGGGCTTTCTTTTCTCTTTTTATCTTTTACTTTACTATCATCTAACACCTTGGGTTACACTGTATTTCTATCCTTTTGTTTTTTTCTGATTAGAAATGTTTCCATTGTAGGAAATTTGGGAAGAAAGGGAAAATAGAGAAAAAGAATCACAATTTCTATGAGTCACTGTTAGCATTCTGTCATATTTTCTTTGTTTTCTATGCATACTTTTTTTTTTTTAAATCCTCACCCAAGGATATTTTTCCATTTATCTTCAGGTAGAGAGGGAGGGAGGGAGGGAAGAGGAGAGAGAGAGAGAGAGAGAGAGAAACATCGATGTGAGAGAGATACAAGGACTCCGACATCCCACATGACTCCGACCAGGGCCAGGGATGAACTGCATCCGAGGTACATGCCCTTGACCGGAATCGAACCCACGACTCATTGGCCTGCAGCCGATGCTCTCATCGCTGAGCCAAACCAGCCAGGGCAATGATTGTAGAACTTTTAAAAGAATCCTACCCCATCCCCAGGTGATTCTCCTTTGCAGCTGGGGAGGAGAACCGGGTCCCAGGGCTCCCAAGAGCAGGCTCCCCAGCCTGCAGTGATCTGGGGCCCGCTGGGGCCTCCTCCCCTGGGTTCCGTCTTTGATGGACCCAGCTAGTTCCGTGGAGTGGTCAAGTGATTCTTCCGCATTTTCCTTTTAAAATTAAGAATTTCGTTTTGGATTCTTCAAGCCATACATGTTCAGTGGCGCAGATGATGAAAACAGAAAAGTACAAAGCAGAAAACAGATGTTTTGCGTTGTTTCTCAACCAATGACTTAATCGGCCGGCTGAGGGTTTCAGAGTACAGGCTGCCAAGCGGACTGACTCCTCCTGTCTTCTATGTGGCCCTCTACGGAGGGACAGTCGCTCCTCAGACAGAATGCTTTCCTTGTGTAGCGAACAGACACTGCCAGCACTGACTACGTGGGCCCTGAGCGAGCCACAGGGACCCAAAGCTCTCGAGGAACCGTCAGCCCCGTCCAGGCGGAGGGCCACGAGGTGCTTCCACAGCACTTTGAAAGCCTTCTCCACGGATCCCAAGTGCCTTTTTATTCCCTTTCCAATTTCCCTGGAGAACGATGTGCTGCTATTTGTTGTTACGGATGAGGTTTCCTTGGTTCACACAATTGTCTGGGTTTTCCACGGAACTGAAGAGGCGGCTATTACTCTTCCCTCTGCTGCTTTCCCACAGCTCCTGCCCCAGTGTGAGTCCCAAGAAGAGTCACCTTCCGCCTTGAGCCCTTCAGTAGACGGGGCGTATGTCTGCACCCAGCACCCAGCGTGGGGAAGCGCTGACCTGGGAGCACATTCCCCTCCCGCTGAGCATCGTGTCACTGGCCCTGGTTCCCCAGACTCCGCTCCCTGCGCAGCGGGGGGCAGGGCAGCCCCGGGAAAGTCCCCCCTCCACTCAGCCCTGTCACTCAGCAGAGCTGCGAGAACTGGGCCAAAGGTGCTCAGACCTTCCAAGCCAACCTCAGATGCCCCCTAGACTGGCAGAAGGACACTGGGTGTTTGCTGGGAGCTCCAAAGGCTGGGAGACGCTCATGGCTACGGTTTCCCTCTGATGAGTCATTGTGGGTGCCCTGGTCACAGCTGCATAGACTTCTCAATGGTGCAGAATTGGCCGGGTGGGTTTTGTTTCTCATTTTTCAAAACAGGGCAAATGGTCACAACGTGCTATGAAAACAAGCACCCGAGGGACACGTGGCACTGAGGGAAGGGTGCCACCACTGTGGGAAACATCCCAACACCTTGCAAAACAGCTCCCTGGAGGTCCCTCTGCCCCCAGAGCTTCACAGAAGCGTGAACCTCAAGCCAACGCCCCCCACAGCCGCCTCGGAGCCCCTTCTGAAAGGACACAGGCATCTTGACCGAGAGGAACGCAGGCCGACATTGCAGTAAGTAAACTAGGGCTCAGGGCTTCCCTGTGGTCCAAAGACAGCTCCACCCTGAGAGGTACCTGGACCCCCACCCCAGCTCCCCGATGGGTAGGACCAAGGATAGGAAAGATCAGCGGGAGGTCCTGAGGCTCCGCAAGGGGCAAAGTGCAGACACCCACGTGGATGCTCTGAGATGCCCTCCTTCCAGGGACACTCAGTCCCCAGTCAAGAGTAATAAACAAAAGCAACAGTGTGCAGGGTGCCCGCTGAGGAGTCAAGCTGTCCCAGCTGATAGGGAAACGCTGGCTCAGGGTTCTGTAAAGATCCCCCAGCCCACCAGGAGGCCCTGAAGTGGCCCAGACTGAAGACCCAACACATCTGTGGTTTCAAGAGCAGCCTTGGTCCTCCGTACCCCCCACACACCTCCTCTTCCGGGTGGGGAGGGCTGTGATGGGCTGATTTGTGTACCCAGAATTCACATGCTGAAGTCCTAACTCCCAGTACCTCACGAAGGGGCTGTACTAGGAGATATGGCCTTTTAAGAGGTTAAAACGAGCTCATTGGAGTGAACCCTAATCCAGTAGGACTGGTATCCTTACAAGAAGGGGAGATGGAGACACAGACACCCAGAGAAAACCACGTGGACACAGGGAGAAGGCGCCGTCTAAAGCCAAGGAGAGACCTTGGAGGAAGCCAACCCTTCACCCTCGATCTTGGACTTCTGGCTCAGGACTGTGAGGACATACATTTCTGCTGTCTAAGCCCCAGGCTGTGCCATTTCATGTGTCAGCCCCAGGAAACTCACACTGGGGGGCAGGGGCACGAAGAGGAGGAAGGCCAGGCTCCAGCTCTCTCCACCTCAGACCCTGGGACGCTCATGTGCCTCCACCTTTAGGAGACCCGCATGTTTCACGAACACCACTTGCCCCTGGAAGAATCAGTTCAAAACGGACCCCCAAATTTCCCCAGAACTGAAGTTAGAGAGAAACCTAACCTAAACAAATGTCCAACAAACACCAGAAACACCCACCTACAGATCTGTTGTGTCATGTTCTAAAGACCAGGCAGGCCTGGGTACCTCTGTGGTACCCCCACTTCGAGAACCCCAGGGTCACAGAACAACCTTGTCATCTCTGACACCGTTTGATCAGCAGGGGCTGACATGGGGCGGAAAAGAACCGGAACTTTCTCTCTCCCAAGCAGGCACCCATGGCTTCGTGTGACCCCAGTAGAGATCCACAACCCCACTGTCTCCTTGAAGAGGTCGGGAAGGGGCCTGGGGTGCTGTGTGAGGGGTGGGAGCCCAGTCTCGCCCGCCGCTGCCCCGGGTGTGGGGGACCCGCTCGCCCCCTCCTGGCGTTCTGGGGCCGGCACACGCACAGCCCGCCCCCGCACCCCTTACCTTCCCGCCTCCCGGCTGGTGCTTCAGGTTTTCGGTGGAGCCGATCTTGGACCTGACGTTCTTCAGGTCTGGCATGGGCACCGGGGCAGTCTGCAGGCGGCTCTTGGCTGAAGACGGCGACTTGGGTGGAGTGCGGACCACTGCCACCTTCTTGGGCTCCCGGGTGGGCGGGGTTGGCAGGGATGGGGTGCGGGAGCGGCTGCCAGGAGTGCCCGGGGAGCCAGGGCTGCTGTAGCCACTTCGATCCCCAGATTTCCCAGATTCACCTAGAAAGGAGGAGGGGGTGAGGCCAGAGTTGGAACGGGTGCCAGTCAGCAAAGGCCCGGGGGCTGCCTGTCCTGAGGGTCCGTTTCTAGGCTCAGGGCTGGATTAGGCCGGTGGGAATAGGCTGGGAGCTCAGGAGGCTGACCTTGAGCACATCCTACAGAAATCTTTTCTTCCTGGCCTTGTCGCTTAGGGAAAGAGAGACCCCATTTCCCAGGGAAGCAAGAGTGTTCACCAAGGACCACCCAGTACCCTTTCCCAGAGAGGGAACCGACTCTACCCCAGGGCCCTGGGGTCAGGAGATGGGATCCAACTAGCTGTGTGGTCTCTGACAAGTCACTTGTCCGGTCAGCTCAGGGGCCTCAGCTCAAAAATGAAAGTCATTATCCAGCCAGCAGAGAGGGAGGCCAGGTGGAGATGAGTGTACACGTGTTTCAGAAAACTCTAGCGCAATCCCAGGGGTCCTTTTCCCTGAACAAGGGCGATGCAAGGACAGGGCCCAGGGGCCACCCTTGTCTGGATCCCTTACACCTTGACCCACAGGGTGAGTTGTAGCTGTTCAGCACGTTCAGGGCCCCTGTCCCACCAGACCCCTATGCAGCCTCCCCGACTCCTTTGTGGTACCTGGGGTCCAGGACACTATACTTGCTTCATGTTCACCTGTCCCCAGCTCTCCAAACAAGCCATGCTCATGCCCCGTGCCCTGCCCTGCCCCGCCATTCCGCCCCAAGAATGCCCACCCTTCCCCCACGATGCATGGCAAACACCAGTGCACCTGTCTGCCCCCTCAGGAAGGCTGCTGGAACCAGTCCTCTCCCAGCAGCCTGTGCTGTGCTCACTGGGTGCCCCACTGCCCTTCAGCAGTTTACTGTTCCATCCACCGGTGGATCGTGCTTCTCCAAGTGTGGCCCGGGACCCCTGTGTCAGTCTCTAGAGCTGTGAGGGGGAGTGGCACGTGTCACATGCAGACTCCTGGGCCCCACCCACACCTGATGAGACAGAATTTCTGGGGGCGGGGCCTGTGAACTGGTTCCTCCCACAGACTCACTGTGGGCGGGGCCTGCACGCTGTTCCCTCCCACAGACTCTAGGGGCGGGGCCTGCACACTGGTTCCTCCCACAGACTCTCTGGGGGCGGGGCTGCACACTGGTTCCTCCCACAGAACCTCTGGGGGCGGGGCCTGCACACTTCCCTCCCACAGAACTTCTGGGGGCGGGGCCGGCAAACTGGTTCCTCCCACAGACTCTCTGGGGGCGGGGCTGCACACTGGTTCCTCCCACAGACTCTCTGGGGGCGGGGCTGCACACTGGTTCCTCCCACAGAACCTCTGGGGGCGGGGCCTGCACACTTCCCTCCCACAGAACTTCTGGGGGCGGGGCCGGCAAACTGGTTCCTCCCACAGACTCTCTGGGGGCGGGGCTGCACACTGGTTCCTCCCACAGACTCTCTGGGGGCGGGGCTGCACACTGGTTCCTCCCACAGTCTCTGGGGGCGGGGCTGCACACTGGTTCCTCCCACAGTCTCTGGGGGCGGGGCTGCACACTAGTTCCTCCCACAGACTCTCTGGGGGCGGGGCTGCCCACTGGTTCCTCCCACAGACTCTCTGGGGGCGGGGCTGCACACTGGTTCGTCCCACAGACTCTCTGGGGGCGGGGCCTGCACACTGGTTCCTCCCACAGACTCTCTGGGGGCGGGGCTGCACACTAGTTCCTCCCAAGCTCCCCTGGGATTCTTGAGCAGACTGGAGTCTGACAGCCACTGGGTTGGATGTTGTGCCCAGGGGACTGAGGCTTCACTTCCCTCAGCTCTGAGGGCGACTTGTCAAGGGGAGAAGAAGCATAGTCCTTCTTCGAGTTTGAATTTCCATGCCTGCTGTCATCCCTAAAGTTGTCCAGGTCTGTGGCAAGAGGACAAATAAAACCTTTTCTCCTTTTCTGCTGATCAAGTCTCTGCCTCTAGGCTCAGCCCCACCCCCACCCTGCCCCACCCTGGTGGTGGCTTCAAATCCTTTCTGTGTCACCTCATTGCAGAATGACACCTGAGCCTGTATCCTCATCTGAAAAATGGGGAGTGTGGCCACAGCCCCCAGTGCTGTTTTCTTTTTAGTGTTGAAAGTATTACAGATGTCCCCCCATTGACCTCTTCCTCCCCGTCCCCCCCCCTCCTGCTTTCCCCAACCTAATGTCAGTGTCCATTGATTGTGCATACCCCAGTGCTGGTTTTGGAAACTGGATGTAGTAACAGGTAAAAGTGTCCTGAGTAGCAGTAGGCTAGGGAATTTCACACCCAAACCTGGGTTAGGAACAGTCCACACCTCCAGCAACCAGACACCTCGTGCTCCCCTGCCCCGCCCACAGGCCTCAGGCAAGGGAATGAGGACACAGGATTGGAAAGCTCCATCAGACAGACACATCTAAACAAACCACACGCAAGAGGAGCAGGAATTCAGGCTCAGCGTGTAAAACCACTGTTTCAGAAGCAGGTCTCCAATTCCGAAAACCTAAGCCAACAAACAGCGACACATGCCAAGGGGGGTGACCCCTGGGCGGAGCAGGCTCAGAGTTACCTCTCTCAGATTTTGCCCCAGCAGGGGGTGGTTTTCTCTGCACTTGCTTGGTAGCTTAAAAAGAAAAATCCATAGAAAACCTCATTATAATCAAGCTTCAACAAGCTCTTCTCCAGGCTGTGGGCACCCTGACAGACCACGGGACAAAGGTGAGCGAGGCAGGGAAGGCACTCAGAGAGCAGGGGCCTGTCTGTCAGGAAACAAGGCCAAGGGGGCCTCTGGGGTGTTCTGTCCATCTGCAGGCTGCCACCCGAGAGCAAGTGAGATCCAAAGAGAAACGCATGTTCTTGTCTCCAGTTACGGCTCCAGTTTTGTGAGCCAACTGGCATCGTGTTAAGTGAAAAAGAGCAGGATCAAAATCATATATAAAATCCAATCACAATTTCTTAATTACCCCATAGCCCATGCATTATATACATGAGAAAAACATTACACGGAAAACCAAACCAAAAGGCCTTACTGCTGGGCCGCGCTTGTAGGCACCACCCTATGGCAAACGGGCTAAATGCCACAGCAAAAGCATGCAGCAGACGAAGGGCTCTGTGCTGCCACCCTGGGCCAGCAGCAGAAATGCCACTGAACCAGCCCAGGTTCGTGCACAGCCTTACAAGATGCACAGGTCCCTGAGCACTACCCCGGAGCCAGCGCAGGCCAGACACTCCGAGTTGTGCAGAATCTAAACCCAGTTGCCTGGGACATGTCTCCCAGGCAGTGGGAGAGGGGAGCCAAGCCTGGCTGTCCCCACCCCACAGAGGGCTACTCTTAATAGCACCACTAGAGGCACAATCGCTCTAATCAAGACCCACTGGGTTTTACTCACAGGAGCACAGGACAGACACAGCCTGCAACTGCTCAGCTGGACCCTCAGCTCTGGCAGAGGGTCCTTGACAAGCCAGCAAGCTAAGCTGGGCAGGGGCCCCGCTCTGAGAGGTCATGCATCCTGACATATCCAGGCTGCTCTCGGTCGGGGGCTGAGAAACACCTCCCAGGGGTTCTAGATTTGGGGTCAGAAAAGCTCAGAGGAGCCCCCTTCCTGCCACTTGTTAGTCACGTGGCTGCATTTTCCTCCTGCTTTGAATGAGCTGGTTAGACTTAGCTGCGCAAACTCCCAGAGCCTTGATTTCTTCATCGAGAAAAGGGGGGATTCAATATCTACCTCAGAAAACTGTCAAGAGGGTTAAAAAGAATGAACATTTGGTGCTTAGTAAACTGTAGGCATTGATTAGCTATCAGGGGCTAAGACCTGTCAGGGCCTTTAGAGACCAGGACTGGGTTCCAGAGAACATTCTTCGTACCCGTACCTGGCGGGGTCTTCGGGGACGGTGTGGTTTTTGCTGGAATCCTGGTGGCATTGGCCGGGCCTTTCTGGCCTGGAGGGGCTGCTCCCCGGGGTGTGGCTATCTTCGTTCCGGTTTTAGTATCCGCCCCCTGTGAACGGAAGCATGGGAGTGGTTTTTATAATCGGGAAAGGTCATTGTCATCTGGAGTTGATGCCAGCCTCACTTAACCACTTTGATTCAAAATGAGGCTAAGAGTGGGGTGACCCTTTGCCCACAAGATGCAACAAATGTCTCCCACAATCACAAGGGTTTGCTGGGCACACAAACCCACAGCCCCCCACACACCAAGTGCTCTGAATACCGTTCCACCTAGAGGAGCTGTTCACAGGAGTTATCAGCAGGAGTTGTGCTCAAGTATTTTACAAAAGGCAATACAGCTTATAGTGACCATCAGGCTCATCATCCACCAGGGCTGGTCAATAGGCAGGGCGTCAGTAGGCCATTCCTAGGTGCACACCCATTTTCTGACTCTCCTCAAGGATCTGACCGATGGTGGTTGCTTTCACCAGAGGCCCTTGAGGACACTGTTGAACCTGACCTAGAGTGCTAGCAGAGCTAGGTCACATTCTTTTGTTCCCTCCAAGCAACTCTTAATGACTCCTTAGGTGCTCGAAGAGCCCCTGGTGGGTGAACACCGGCATCAATTAGCAAGCCGGCCCAAGGCTCAGCAGGTGCACAAGCATGGCCAGCCGGCCAGCCCTAGTACCTAACACACTCAAAAACAACAACAACAACAAAACTGACATTATCCAAGGACCTAAAGATGGTTCGGGAGGGAGTATACTAGAGGGACAGGTGTTGCTGCTCAGTGATGCTGGCGTCCAACCCGAGAGAGGACAATAGGGACGCACTCCAGCTACCGAAGCCAGGAGTGGACACAGGAACCCAATTAGAGAAGCGGTTCCACAGCAGGGTCCCCTCAGGTGCCCCAGGGGCGGCTGCCACGAGGCACTAAGGGAGCTCAGAAGGATGGCGCCCGATCCCCATCCCCATTTCAACCAGAATTTTAACTGTCCTACGATGTGCTTCTAGGTAAGAGCTCAGCTGAAGAAAGGTCTTTTCGGCTAAAAACCAACAATATACATTTGAAAACCGCATTCGAGCAGCCTGGTTCTTTTCCAAGGTGTTTTCCTTACCTTGACTTTCATCTCCTTTGCTCCAGAACCGCCAGTTCGGGGTGTGACAGGAGAGACGTGTTCTGGAGAGGAGGGTGGCTCTGGGCACACGGCAGGGCTGGAGGGTTTGATCAAAGGGTCTGAGCTACCAGGGCTGGGGCGTTTGGGGCTAAGGCAAGGCCTACTGTTCAGGGTTCTAGCAGAGGAAGGTGTGGACGTCTTAAACATAAACATAAATAAAATCAAAATAAAAGTCAGCACAGGAGGGAGGGGAACAAACTGAAAAAGGACAGTAACTAAAAACAACTAAGGCAGGTAACGGTGTACAGCAGTGCCCTCCTCACTGTGGATCAGCACCCTTAGCAGCCCTTAGCAGCCAGATCGGAAAGACCCTGTACCCCACGTCCTTGCACTCCGTCGTCAGCGTGATACCAGGATGCCAATATGTGCCGTACATTACAGAACTTCCACGCGACAGAACTTCCACCAGACACAAAAATGGATACAAGTTCTGGAATGTTCTTTCTGAAGCCGGTTGGATATTACTGTACCCCCCTCCCCATCTTGGAGAACACCGATTTATAGGTGCTTCATGACCAAAACGTTGATGGAGACAAAGTCGATGGTTCTAGGATGTTTCTCAGTAAAGCATGTCCAGCGTGTCGTGGGTGTCGCGCCCCGCTGTCCCTGCAGCCCAGGTGTGGTGCGCCCACGGGCCCGCTCACCTCGGCCTCTCCCACCTCCCTGACAGTAAGCGTTGCTAAAATCAGGATTGTGCTGGTTCTAAGTTTTAAAGATTCTGCCTGACACCACTTAGGTTACACACACACACACACACACACACACACACACACACTTTCTGATTAAAATCTCGAGTAAAAGGAAACACAATCTGGTGAATCCTAAACTGGCCAATCTTTACCCTGGAACGCGTCCCACTTAAGGAAATAGCCTGAGTGGGGCGGGTGGCCAATGGGACATGCGTCTGTGGGCTGGATGACCTCACAGAGGCAGCTGCACTTGTCGGGTGGTGTGGCTGGCACCTGTGGTTTGTCCCAACTGTCTCTGGGGGACTTTGACCGGGATGTGTGGCCCTGGTGGAGGAGGGGCTGCACCTTCAGGATCTAAACTGAGAGGACCAGTTTAGGAAGGTTTGAGCGACAGGGCAGGTCCTGACCAGAGACTTGATCAGGTTTCTCAGGTTAGTTCCTCATCGCCCCTGAATTCCTGTGGCCAGCCTCGGCGAGGAGATGGCCCAAGAGGTGGAGAGGAGTGTAAGGGGAGGGGTGCAAGCTGGGGCCCTGGGGCTGATGGAAAGGAAGATGGATGGGGTGGGTACCGGCAACCCCATCCTTCCCCAGATGCACAAGGCAGCGCTCCCTACCTGGCCAAGGTTTCTGAGAGACCTGGCCCCTCACTGTGAGCCTGTGAGCAACTCCAGGGCAGGGACATTGTACCATGTGTGGGAATGAATGACTGAACAAATGCATGCGTGAGGCCTGTGTTCCCCTAAATGTGCATCAAGATTGACAGGCAGCTATTGTTACTGCTTCAAGCACCTAGGGCAGAGCCCCCCACCCCAAGTCTCTGCAGGACCCGCAGCTGCCTCTCAGAGTCTCATGGTGGCAAACCCCACTTTCCTACGCGCAGGCCCTTCGGGGAGCAGCCCTCAATGTGCTACCAAATGCCTAGAGCTACGTTCTGCACTTGGGGCTCCAGCAGGGCTCCAGGACTGATGAAGAACCAGACCTTTCAGGCAGAACCAACGATGGAAATTTTAGGTACGTTTAAGAAAAACAGGTCTTCATCTAGGGCCACAGTGGGATTTTCCTGGAAAAACACTGCTGTGCAGTTACAGGAGCTTTTCCAAGAAGCCAAGACACTGAGGGGGGTGAACTCCAGACGACAGGAAGCACTGAGCACGGGCGTGGCCCTGGGTGCCGTGCTGGTGGTCAGCAGGCTGCTTCACTTACTGTTCCTGGGCTCATTTCTGAAGGCCCACGAAAGCCTGACATCAAATCGCCACCTTGGCGAGATCTGAAGCTGGCCTCTACTGCACCATCACTGCCACACTTGCCCACGTAGCATTCAAGGTGTGTGCCAGTCCCCTCCCCAACCCCTGCAGCAACCAAGCCAATCTGCTTAGAGTTCTGGAAGGCATGTGGTCTCTCTCCCGGGCCTCTGCTCGCGCTGTTCCGACTGCTCGGAATGCCTTTCCCACCCGCCTCAGCGACCCTCCGTCACAGGTCCTCTCTTCCAGGCCTTTTCCAGAACCCTCCACCTTAGGCTGGAGGTCACTTCCTCGCTCAAGACTCTCTCAACAACATCTGAGGAAATGGTACTTTCTATCTATCTTAAACGTGTGTGTGTATATTCGCTGAGCCCAGACCTGCAGTGGGAGGTGGAAGATGTGCAAACTTCAAACTCCGTTGCAGAAAATTCAAGCCCACCTGCATTTACCGTGAATACCTCATTTAGACCAGGCTCGTGTGCCTGCACCCGGGAGCACACATTCATTCATCTGCTGGCTGCCCTCCCCGGCACGGGGTCCAAATGGGCAAATGCTGGACTTTTAAGTTTGCACAAAAACACAAAGCACTTTGAATGACAGCTGTACTCCAGTGACATGTATATATACACATTACGTGTAGACATTAATTCAGCTATAAAACACGGCTTCTCGATCAACGCGACGGCGGCAGCAGTTCCGTGGGTCTGGCAGCTTACCTTGGTCTTCTTGTCATCGTTTCCGGCCCCATCTCTGCCTTTACTGACCATGCGAGCTGATAAAATACGAAAGGAGAATGTACGTTACACCCATTTGCGCGGCTCCCGGTAAGAGCTGAATGTCATTAGGCTGGTTTCTCAGGACAGTGCGACGTGCTTAGTTCAGCTGGGCTTAGTGGAAACCCACCGATTTCCTTCCCCCTGAATCTGTAAGGTCTCTCACTGTTAGTATCTACACAGCACGCTGGGGTCATTGCTGGGAGCGCCCTGAGGGGGCAGCAGGCTGGCTGAGGGTGGGGACATGCAGAGGGGACACAGAGGAGACTGCTGTGGGTACACCTTGGCACAGGAAGGGCAGGCCCCACCTCTCTCAGGCTCCCTTCCTGCCTCTGCCTGGCTCAGCTGACTCCCCAGCGGGGGCCACCTCCTCTCCAAGGAGGGGGCTGCTCAGACAGGCTCTGGCCCCCTGCAGGGCCCCCTGCTCATGCTGTCACCCAAGGTCAGGGTGGGTTGTCTTCCCAGAGTTGGCCCCTCACTACTGGGGGCTTTGGGCACCAGCCCCAGCTGTTCTCTAACAAGCGCTCTCACCCGTGACCCAGCCCCGGAGGGTCTTCTCACCACCTGAGGCCTTCCCAAGGGGCTAATCCTTGCCATTGCCCCAAATTAGCTATAAACTGGTTACCATCAAACATCCTACAGATAACCTCTGGAATTTAGGACTAAACTAATGACCGATTTTGTGTTTAGAAAGCCACACCCCTTGGTGTAACCAATCCACGTGTCTACCAATGCTCCTCTGCCTCCCCCTCTCCTTCTACTGACATTCACTGCTGAAGACTGATTACAGATTTGTCTTTGGTTTCAATATAGTGTTCCCCATCTCACTGGCTACCCCGGAGAACGGATTTTTAGAGTGACCAGCATTGATGATCTAGCCCAGAGGTTTTTAGACTTGACTGTGAAAAATTACCAGGAGAAGTTATTAAAACACATAGATTCCTGAACCCACCCCGAGACTCTGTAAACCTGAGGTGAGACCCAGGAATCTGCATTTGAATAAGAGCCCCAGGTGGACCTGATTCACATCCTTTGCCCAAATCAACCACCATCATGCACGTCAAAACCAAAGCATCTGCTAGATCAGCATTTCCCCAATTGGAGAACTACTGAAGAGGTCCTCTTCCAGGAGACATGAGCAGGTGAGATCAAGTAACTTTGGGAAATTCATACTATGGATTCTTTTCAGAGGATCAAAATGTGCTTTAGAATATTAAAGGCTCTGACAAGTCCTGCACCAGCAAACCCTGTTTAACTTTGTGTTGTCTGTTTTTCCTAAACTTATTGGACCATGGGATTCTTTTTTCTCTGGACACACTTATCAATATCCAGTAGATCAGGATTCAATAAACCACCATTTTCAGGAAACAACGTTGTAATCTGTCAAGCCACAGTTATTTGTCCCCTACCATTTTGAGACTTAGGATATTTTAAAATAGGACATAGGATTTTTTTCCCTGTTTTAAAATTTAAATACAGCTTCCTTAATGTAACAACATTTTCAAGCTTTTTTTGACAAGTAGGATTGAATCAAAATTTAACAGATGTTTGCAACTGACAGCTTAAGTAGCATCAATTTCTGAGCCCTGAAAATAATTCTATGATGCTAAGCGTCCTAAATGTATGGCTGCACCTGACTTGTGGCCATGAAGCCTCCTCTGGGATGTAAACTGTCCCCTCAACACTTGGGAACTGCCCCTCCCACCTCTCCAGCCCCTAAAAGGGCTACTGTGGTCTTGCTTCCCAGGGCTTGAAGGAGGGATTCTGTTCCTGCTCACTGTCCCTCGTGCCACAGGCAGGGCTGGTGGGGGTGGGGCTGTTGGGCCAAGGCTCAGCGTGTCCACCTCCAGATGCTTGTGTGTGTCAGCTGCTGTGTGTGATGCGTTCGTTGTCCACTGACAAGAGCACCAGAAGACAGGCTTGTGCCCTCTATGTCTCTGGGCTAGGAGGGTACGCTACAGAACCTTCTGGAAGTCACTGTGGTGTACAAGGGAAGAGGGCCATTTCAGAGCAGACCTACCTGGATTCTGAACCTGGCTTGGCCACTTGGGACTCAGAACTTTCAGTGAGTTAGTTACTTTACCTCTCTGAGCCTCAGTTTCCTCATCTGTAAAATGGGGCTAATGACGCCCACTTGGGAGGGTTGGGAGGGTTCTAGGCAATGAATTTAAGGCACATAATAGGCCCTCAAAAGTAGGAGTAGCTCTTATTCTCTCTGCAGTGCGCCTGATGGACCGCTGTGGACCAACTACGTGGCTGGAGGAGTGACAAGCAGAAAGCACTGGGTGGGGTGTTGGTGGCATGCAGATGGCGGGCAAGCGTGAGGAGCACGTGCGCCCAGAGCCTGCGGGCAGGAGCTGCGGGGGGGTGAGCAGCAGAACCCAGGTGGTCGGTTTAGTGGCTGTCCCTAGGCACCTTGGAAGCGGCAGGAGTCAAGGGGGGGCCGGAAGCTCAGTGACAGTGCCCGCAGCCTGGGTGGCACATGGGGTCACCGGGAAGGAGTGAAGGAGTTCTAGACACCGACCTCTGAGTTGAGGGACCCGGCTGACGGGCTTCCCTGGCAGACCAGGTGCAGGCTGCTTTTCAGATGGTTCTGGAAGGTCAGTCTTTTTTGTGTCCTCTCTCTCAGAGGGGCTCCGGGGCTCTTGATCCTCTCCAGGGGCCCTTGGAAGTACATCCCCTTCCAAATCCGCCTCTGAATCTCCCTGTTCCTTCTGCACATTGGCTTTGATTTCCACGTGGAACGTGAACTCGGGGGGCCCGTCGCGCCCTTCCGCCGTGGGCCCTGTGCTGGGCCCGTCTGGCTCTGAGACCTGGGGCTCTGTGTACACTTTGGAGAGGAAATCGACAGGGAGGGGGATGGCACCCTCAGCTGGGAAACCGGGGGTGCCAGTCGCTTCTCTGGAAACTGTCTGGGGGGATGGCCCACCTTGGGTTGGGGAGCTCTGCAGACTTAGGGAGACCTGGGAGGGAGGGGAGTCCTGGGGTGAGGACTCATCGATGTCTCGGTCTTCATCGACCTCCTCACCCCCCAGCCTCTCTTTGCCCTGGTCCCCCTTCAGAAGGCACCCCTCCTGGTGCAGGTTTCCCCAAAGTTGGTGCTCCAGCAGCCCCGGGCTATGGTGACGTCCCTTTGTGTCCTCAGGTTCTGTCCCCAGAGGCTGGTACGTGGCTTCTCTGGGGTCTTCAGGCGGCGTGGGAGCCCCAGGCATGTCGGACCTGTACTGACGGGTCAGACCCGGGGTCCTCAGGTCCATGGCCGCGTCTCCATGATGCTGCGGCTCTCTGAGGACGCTTTCCTGGACCACATCTGTCTGCAGATATCCAGGGGGCGTGGGCTTTGGGAGAGCCAGCTCCTCCTCGGCCCGGTCCCCTTGTTCTGGTCCCCACTCCTGGTGGGGCTCCTGAAGGCCTCCAGTTGGAGGGGGCGGTTGGCAGATGGGATGATGCTGAGAACGGTGAGAGACTAGGACAGGACCTTCTGGCTGTTTCTCTCCCAGAGGCAGCGTGGAGACCCCAGAAGCTTCTCTGCCGTGCCCAGGCCGAACCTGAGAGCTAAGCCCCGAGACCAGCGGCCTCTCCGGCACCTCCCTCTGCTGACCGGGAACTCTCAGCTCCTCTGGGTTTGAAGAGGCAGCGGGGGAAAAGGTTAGCAAGGGCTCAATGACTGTTTAAGAGGGAACACACTTATTTCTTGAAATAAGAAAAGGACATTTAAATGACATCACAAGCCTCGTTGATTTTGTTTGCTCTGAATGCAATCTGTCTCAGTCTACCTGCCACCAACCCTGGGTGACCCTGGGTGAGCACCCCCTCTCTGTGGGCCTGTTTTCTCGTCTTGGATCTGGTAACCTCCAAGGCCCTGCCTAGCGCTGGCGTTACTCCTCTGCTTACAGTGGGAGGTTGGCTCAGAGCATGTCAGCATGTCCAGGGCTGCTGGCCCGCTGCGGGCTGCCTCGTGCTCAGCCCATAGGCTGCGGAAGCTTCTCCGGCTCCCCAGGGACACAGCACCCTGAAGGGCTGGCTTGGGTGCAGTGAGGGCCCCTTTTCCCTCCCTCTCACTCTGTTCCCCATTTTGCCAAATGAAACCAGCAGGGGCCCACAAACCAAGCCTGCTTCAAGCCCGTGCTCTGATAGATACAGAAAACCCAGGATGTATCATCGTCAGGGCTCGAGTCTTTACTAACAGACCTGCTGTCAGTGTCCTGTGAACAGAACCCCGGCTCAGATTTATCCAGGTCAGGCAGCACGGACGGGCCTGTTGCATGAGGGGAGGCAGACCACTGTGCAGCAATGGACACGGCCAGTCACCAGCCCACAGGGACTTCTGCTTTCACCTGTCACACATGTGGCTGATGAAGGGCACACTTTGTTTTTTGTCTGGTTCACTTATGTGAATGCTTAAAGTATCTGACTATATATTAAGGACAGGAAAGTTATGCTCTTGGTTCTTCTAATAAACTTTTTGTTTTTAACTCCCAACTCTTTGACAATCCTACCTAGTGCCAACAGAATAACCCACACAGATCTCCTCTCAACAAAACCTAGAACCCCAGCGAGTTCAGGAGGAGGAAGAGATGATCAGATCAGGGGAGGGAAGGAAGGTACGAGAAGGCATGTGTTTACACACGTGTACAGTTGTGGACATACATGGGTAACATGTGACTATCCCCCTCTCCCCACTCAGTTGGAGTCCGTATAGCTGCTGCCCCAAGAGGCCTGGCCATGGCTCACCTTCACCTCCTGCCTTTAGGCTGGGCCTCAAGCTCACGATCCCATTCATTTTGTGTTCCTAGCATCCACCACAGTGTCTGCACATAGCAGGTGATCAATAAATGAATCCTGCACAGATGACCTGAAGTCAGGAAAAGGTGCTGACTTCTGATTGCTCAGGGTCTGGGGCCCTTGGTCAGTGCCTGGGAAGAAGCACTTCAACAACAGAGATGTAGGAAACAGGTTGGCAGGAAGTCAGCTCATGACTTCCTAGCCACCCACCAACGCACCCAGCAGGCCAGCGGCAGCGGTGGCTGCCGGTCATTACATCCCTCCCCACAACAGACCAGGTCTCCAGCGCCTTCCAGAATAAGCTTCCCTCCCGAATCTTCCTAGAAATTGCTCTTGATTAGGGTGTTACTACACTCTGATAAATGCAAGACTTTAAACAATCCTCATTAAGAGAGACAAGGGCCCCAAATGTGAATAGTGAACATACCTTGAAAAGTCCTCAGCATATGACTGTACAGTGCGTGTGTGTGTGTGTTGACGGAGGAGGGCTCTAACAAGGTGATTATACTCGTGGAGGAAGGAGCCAGACTGGGAGAATATTCTAGTCAATTCCCAGGATACTATGAATGCTCGGTCAATGTTAACCGTAACAATCACCAGGGGTGGGGGTCCAAGGTCAACAATACCTGGGTAAGCAGTGTGATTGCTTTGGAGTCCAGATAAACTGTTCTCCCCCAGAAGGCCTATTCCTTTGACACTTAGAGAAGAGAGGCCCCCTCCTCAGGGTGAGTAGGACAGGCTGAGGCCTTCCCACATCCTCTCTCAGCTCGTCCCAGCCCCATCCTGAAACATCTTTCTCTGTCTTAGTACTTCCTGGACACTGGCTGCCAGAGGTGTTCCTCCTGCCGCAGGAAAGAGCGCGAGATCTAATTACTGTGCTTTTGTTTACATGGCTCTTCTTCTTTTAAATCCTCACCCAAGGACATTTTTCCATTTTTTGTTCAGATAGAGTGGGAGGGAGAGAGAGGAAGAGAGAGAGAGAAACATCGACGTGAAAGGGACACATCGAGTGGCTGCCACCTGCACGACCAACCAGGGCCAGGGACAAACTGCAACCGAGGTACATGCCCTTAGCGGGAACCGAACCCGGGTCTCTCTGGACTGCAGGCCAAAGCTCTAACCGCTGAGCCAAACCGGCCAGGGCTACATGGCTCTTCTTAAATGGAGTGTGTTTGTGGATCCCCAGTGTGTTGGAATTTCACAGGGTTTCACTGGCTGGAACTAGCAGCCCCGATCAAGGTGTTTAATATTAGTCTTGGGAATAGAGATAGAAACTCCACGTATTCCCAGGTTTGGTGCCGATTTTCCTTTGCAGGTGTTCCCCGGTGCTCACCTGTCTACCTGTGTGATTCTAGACCACTGTCAGAAAAATGTAAACATTCAGTTATCACAGCGGTCAAGTTTCCAGAACAGCTGTTGGCTTGATACCTTCATCACATGGGATATGTTTTAGAGGCAATAAAAATTCGTAGAAAAAAACCCTCAAATTCACTTCTTTTCATGAAAAGAAAAGAAGTGAAATTCAGTTATTTTCATGGAAATAAAAGAGGTAATGGAACCCTCTAATATTGGCCAACCTGAAAAATCGTGACCTGAGAGAAACCGAAGGCGGGATTCTAGTTATTTACCACACAGACCGAGTTCCCCTGACACTGATTAGCCCTTCTAATATTTTTTAAAACTCTTTGTAAGAATGAAAAGGCTTTTCTGTGCCATGTGGTATGAGAAACATCAGCCCACTGGGGGGCAGTGACCCCTCTGGGAGCGGGAATGCGTAGCTGGGCCTCGACATGCCGTCAATGAGACACTTCCTCAGGCCCAGACACTTCCTACAGCCAGATGGCCTGGTGCTGCTAAACACTGGATAAGCCCCGTATCGCTTTCAGGAGGAAAGAACAGCATCTTCCCAGCTCTTTTGCAACCTAGAAGCTTCCATTTACACCGTAGACTCTGAAGTTCATTTACACAGCAAATGAGAGGAAGCAAACCCAGCCCACACTGTGTCAGAGGTCTCCATTCCCTAAGACGAAGAAGCTCTAGGATTTAAAAAACTAAGGTCTTAAAGCATTCGTGCTAAATAATTGTAGAAAGCTGTTTTTCTCGACCACAGCAGTTCTGGTCCCTGAGAAGAAAACCGCAGGGTTTGAAGTCTGCACAGAGAAAGCTGAGGAGAGGGCCCGGCGGTGGCATAGCCGGGGCCTTGCTTCCGGGCAGACCAAAGGCCCAGCGCAGGGAGAGCCGCTGTCACATGTATTTGTGTTTCTGTTGGATGTTCATTCTCTACCCCCCACGCTGCACAAGGCCAGCTTTTTTCCACAACACTAACCACCTTAGGAATGACTCAGAAATAGTGTTGGGAAAAGAGTGTTGGGGCTGTTCTCTACCCGAACAGCCCAGCTTAAACGAGTACCACCTCCTAAACCCTCCCGGACCTGGGGATTAGGGCTCAGGTCCAAACTGTTTTCAGGGCAGAGTCCACCTGCGTGTGGCATCTCCCCCCGCCAACCCCCAGGCCTTGGCGACCATTCCAGCCACTGACCTTGAGTCACATGTCCAGCAGCTTGGTCTTCCAGGCTGGGGGTGTCTCCGACGCCTGCTTCTTCAGCTGGTTGATGTGTCGGCAAATGAAGGAGATAAAGCACAGTTACTGTGGGCTAAAAACAAAGCTCTCTGCGTCGTCCATATTTTTCTGAAAACATTAGAAGAAGCGCCGCTTACGAGTACCACGGGGCCGCACCCCTGACTCCCTGAAGACGTTATTGCTGGGGACGTTGAGGAAACAGTTCATTGCACAAACCCCACACACCCACACACTTCACAGGGGACCACAGTCCGGTAGGAAAGACCTTCCTCACAGTGGGCCCAGGGTCCCAAGGACCCCACTTGACAAAGACACACAGAATAGGCGAGGTCAGAGGAGCAATTTGCTGCTAGTCACTGCACGGACCCGTGTCCAGGTGTCGGCAAACGTCCCGGCCCCAGCGTGGGACAGAGCTGGAGGGAAGGACTAGGCATGGGCTGGGGAGTCGGACTGGGATCACACCCAGGTGTCATTATTTACCTAACCCCCTGAGCCTCGCCTCCTCATCTAGCACCCCAAGGTGCTGGCAGCGGTCCGCCTTGTAGGAGGGCGCTGAGGATGAACACAGGAATTTGTGTGAGTGTTTGGCAAAACGCCTGGCTATGGTAGGTGCCCCAAAGCTGTTCGGTTTCTCTTCTCCAACCTACTGGGAAACCCTTTAACTGCACGTCCAGAATAGGTGCTGCCTGGTCGAGGGGGGCCAGCGGCCCCAGTGAGTGGCTTAGGGAACCACAGCTCACCCCAACAGAGAAGACTGAGGACAGTCCCTATGCACCATCTGTGGTACCGAAATCAATGCGCTTTACCATGGAGCCAATTTCGGCAACCTGGTAAACCAAGATGCTGCCACAGGCCGGCGAACAGCACTGTCCGGAAGCAGAGATGAGAAGGCCAGTCAGCCCACGTTCACACGCGCCGGCCTCAGGAGCCGCACCCCTGAGAAAGGCCTGTAAGTTGTCGGCTGGGCCACCAGTGTCCTCCCAGCCCTGCCATGACCCAGGCTCTGCACCTAAGGCAGAAGTGGCCGCCACTGGCCGGCACAGGCTCACCACGGAGCCAGGAGGGGAAAGAGACTCCCCGGGGCCCTGGACAGCTCCAGGAGGCACAGCTCGCGGCACAGGTTCGGTCTGAGTCTCTGACGAGGTTACAGAAGGAAAGCGCAGATGACAGCAAGTCCAGCCGAGTGGCACGGAGCCCTGGAGACAGAGAACGTGCGCGGGCATGCCAGGATGAGGTCACAATGGTGGCACCAGCAAGCTGGCAGCTTTCACATGCCAGTGCAGAGCTGTGATACCCTGGCCCTGGTGCCAGTCTGAAGTCAGAGGCTGCCGGTCGCTCTGACGACCCCCAAGGCCAGCAAGGGGGAGGGCTCCGAGGAGTCCCGGGGAGGAAGGGTGTGTGGCCGTGGCTGGGCCAGCATGTCACCACACGGCCTCTCTCTGTCCCTGAAGCCCCAAGAGGCAGGGCACCCACCCCTGTGGCCACACCACACCCCAACAGGACCTCAGATGAGAAGTTTTCTTTCTTTTTTTTAAAAAAGAGTTTTTCTTTATTGATTTGTAGAGAGAGGAAAGGAGGGAGAGAGACAGAAACATCGATGAGAGAGAACATCAACTGGCTGCCTCCTGCATGCCCCCCACTGGGAATCGGGTCCACAACCCGGGCATGTGCCCTGACCAGGAATCAAACCAGTGACCTCTTGGTACATGGGTTGATGTTCAAACACTGAGCCACACCGGCCGGGCCAGATGAGAAGTTTTCACTCGAACACCAAGATACAGCAAACAGGACACGCCAGACTGAGGCGCTAAACCAAGGTACATGTTGTCAAAGTCAACAGCTGAGGCCATAGAACCCCCCACCTCACCAAGGAGGTAAAGGGTGGAGGGGGTGGAGGAGAAGGGCTTTTTCAGGAGGATTTCTTTGGAGAGAACAGATTGGGGGGTTGGCCATGTAGCCACTAGCCACCTCCATCTGAGTCCCAGTGCAAGGAGTTCAAGGCACCACTTGTAGACACTGGTGTGTGTCCTCTGTGGTTAGCGACATGGCAGACCGCTGTCAGAAGCCTACCTGGGAACTAGAGGAGGGAGGCTGGCCCTGCTTTGGTGGGGGAGCAGGGGAGCATGGTGGTGGCCCCGCCGTCATTCCGCAAAGCAGTTTGGGCAAAGAATGTCCGTGTGTTTCCCACAGACCTGACGTGGGCACAGGGCAGTGGCCGTGTGGGGGTGCTTTAGACCGCACCCGGGAGGTCACCGACAGGGCAAGCAGGGGTCAGGCTGGAGGCCAATCCTAAGCCCCCAACGAGCAGAGGAGAGAGGAAATGTCTGCTTGAATCGAGCACACAGGGAGGAACCTTCAAGGGGGACAAGAGCGTGGGAAGAGTCTGGAATAATTTCTAAAAGTTCCCACAGAGAAAGAGTCCCTTTTCAACCCTGTGGAGAGGACGGAGCCAACAGCTCTCTGCAGTGCAGCCTAGTGAGACTCATCCCGCCCCCCGCCCTCCTCACGGTCCTCCCGGCCCCCCGCCCAGAGTGGGGGGCTGCAACCGGAATGAGCTTTGACCTTTACAGGGAGTGGCCATTCGAATCAGCACCTGCAGACTGTGTTCTGTGACTAAGGAGACTACGAGCAGTGGAAAGTGGGCTGGAGTTTCCATCGCAGGCGGAGGGGGCCCCACTGGATACATAGTAAAGGACAAAAACCAAGTGATTCATGATCTTGTCCCATGAGTTGGGCTTTGACCTTCAAATGACCTTCACTGTCAAGGACGAGGCCCGCTGGGCTTCAAGAACATGCCCCTCCACCCCTCGCAAAGACCACCTCGCAAAGCCTGGAGGGGTCGGGCGGCGCTGCCCAGCCGCGGAGGGCACTCAGCACTGTGTTTAGGAAGGAGAGACCTCCTGCCTGGGGACATCGCCCCCTGTGCTTTGCTGGTGAAATCCTGTCCAGAATCCTCCTGCATTTCTTGTCACACACCCTCCAATCGCCAAGCCGAGGCGGGAGCCTGTCACGTCAGCCCAGTGGAGGGGACGTGAAGGACACGACAGGAGGAGCTCCGGGCTGTGCTAGCCACTTCCTCAGGCCTGGGCTGCTCGTGGTGACTCTGGTGGCCCCGAGTCCAACGCTATTTCTGGCCGGTGCCTAGATGTCTGAGTTACTCCCCCTCATCCGTGTTGACAGGACGGCCTCGTCATGCCTGCTCTGTGCACATACGTTTGAGAAGACAGTCGCAGGACTGGATGTTGGACTAGATGGCTGAGCTCCTCAGGGGATCCTCCAAAGGTGTGGGCCAGCATCCGGACCCTGCGGCACACTCGGTGCTTCTGGTGGCAAATGCCCCCTGGGAGGTGACCCTGTCGCCGGGCAGTCTGAGCAGGAGGGTGGACTGCCCTCAGGGACGAAGGCCGGATCTGCCAGCAGCCCGCCTCGGGAGCCCCGTGGAGCCGGTGTACTGACTGAGACAGGAAGGAGGCTGGAAGGGATGCGACGGGTCCTCTCTCCCCTGGGAGGCTGGGAGGTGGCCACGGAAGCAACAGGACCCCCGGGCATCAAGCTCAGAACCACCCAGGAGTCCTAGGAGCTGGCGTCTACCCACATGTCTGCCTCACTCTGAGATGAGCACAGCCCCACGCACACCCTCTCCTCCAGCAGGTGAGCCGAGCACCCAGCCCCGGGTCACCCTCACCTGTGGTTCCTTCTGGGATCTCCATGTGGGGCTGAGCGGCCACCTGCTTGCTGGGGGCTCCCTCATCCACTAAGGGCGCTGTCACATCTGGAAACCACTGAAAATCACCTTCGGGGCGCCCGGGATGAGCTGTGCAAGCCCCTCGCCTTTCGTGGTGTGCAGCCGCAGTGCAGGCGGGGAGGGGAGGGAACAGCCACATGCAAGAGAGCCAACCACAGAGCAGGCCCAGAGCCACCCTCCCCAGGAGGAGCCTGACACCTCCCCAGGAGGCACATTAATATTCTACTTGAGTGGCACCAGCCCATGAGCCGTCCAGGCCCTCTGCCAGGAAAGCCAGGGACAGCCCCTAGGTAACACGGCAGGGAAAGAGACCGCTGGGGACGGTTCCAGGGGTATTTAGAGAAGAAATGTTGAAAACCAGATGACTGTTTGCAGATGTTTGATCCTTAAGGCAGTGAAGGGGAGGAACTGGGTGTAAGGCAGGGCAGGAACTCTGGGGTTAGGGATGGGATCTATGGCTTTGCTGCGAGGCCTTGGGCAAGTCCCTTGTCCTCTTTGGGCCTCAGTTTCCTCATCTGCAAAATGGAAGTATCGGCTCCAAGTGACTTCCAAGGTTTCCTCCAGCGTGCCCTGTCCCCCTGGGCCCATGACCCATGGTCAAGCAGCACAGAATCCCCTGGGTAGTGATGAAAGGCCCAGGGCTGTCCAGGGTCAGGGCTGCGGAGACCAGAGCTGAAGATCCACCAGCAGGAGTTGCTGTCAGTGTCTCTTCAAGGGGAACCCTTCCACACCGGCCTTCGTCCCCGAGCAGTGCCCTGGCACACTCCCAGGCCGTTCTGGGTGAACATAAGGAGTTGTCGGCGCTGAAAGCTGTCCAAGAGCCTGAGTCAGTTTAGACAAACGGAGTCCATTTTAATTATGGTCTCAGGAGCAGGTGGAGCAGCCCGGCCCCGCCCGGCCCCTTCCGTGTGGGGTGGGAGCTACAGTGCTTGTGACCCACACACATACAGGGTCCAGAGTGCAGGGAGACTTGGTGGGAAACTTCTTCCAGAATGACGTTGATGAGATGCTGGAAACCACGAGTTGGAAGGCTGGCATGGATTCGGGCATCGGTGTTTCAGGGCTTTCTCAGGGCGGCAGGCAACGTGTACGACTGTCCTAACTAGATCAGCAGGATGTCTTGCATCACTGACTCCAAGGAGAGCAAAGGCATTTGGCCGAGTATTCTCCGCATAAGCTGAGAACCCCGTGGGTGGGGGAAGGGCCATACCCACTATATCCTCCACAGAAGCACCCTTAGACCAAGAAATTGGCAAGCACCTGACAGTCACTTTCTGAACTCATCCAAAGGTAGACGTGAGAGGTGATGCTGGGGCCAGGTTCTCATGCTGTGACACAGAAGCTAAAGGACTGGGCAGGGCCCAGAGGAGGGCTGACAGCAGAAGCTCAAACCTCCTTGGGAAGAATGAAGAGATGGAGGAGCAGATACCACAGACCGGTTACTTAAAAGCCATTCTCAATTCCCTTCTCTCTTAATTTCTCCTACTAAAGAAGCTGAAAAGCAACATGCGTGGTGTCCGAGCCTCCCTTACAGCCAGGAGTGTCCCCGAGGCTCAGGCCCGACAAATGGGACGTAAGCGGGAGTGGGCCAGGTGGGGCTTGCAGGAAAACTCTCACTTTCCTAACTCAGAAGAGAACACCTTTGGTTTCAGGGCCCTTTTGGCCACTTGCTTTGCTACTTTCTGCTTTGAAGGCAGATGTGATGCCTGGAAGTGCAGTAGCCACCTTGTAACCATGAGGTAACAATCCAACCGTTAAGGATGGCAGAAGAAAAAGACAGAAGAGCATTGATGACTCCGGGGACTGGCTAAGTCCAGACAGCTTATTATGTGAGACATATAAACCTCTTCACAGACATGCCACAGTTCGTTGAGTTTTCCTTTACCGCAATCAAACTCGCTCTTGACTGACATAGATGAGAAGCAAGAGAAGGTGGTCAAAATCGGGACCAGGGAGCACTTCGGGACATACACGAGGAGCTTCCTAATAACCTAGATACCGAATGTTTAGAGAGAACAGGTTGGAAGGTGGGTTGGAACTAACGCAGTGGCCAATGTCCAGAGCCCAAGGCCAAGACCAGTGCTAAAAAAATGAAAGATACTAAACCAAGACAAGTCCCAGAGTGTGAGCTCGGAGACACGCATTGACCTGCTTCTTCTCTCAGCCACACGGCTGCTCTGGGACCTGGTGGCTCAGGAAAGAGCGAGGTGGGTGGGAGCTTCGGAAGGAGCTGGGAGAGGCGATCGACATGGAGCAGGGGTTTTGAGGAGTTGCGCTTGGGCCCTGCTTTGCCACAGATCCCAGCCTCTCCGAGTGCGGCCGCCTCAAAGCACACGCGTGAAGAAGGTGCCTGTGCCTGGCACTGGTGAGCAAGGCACCGAAGCAGGGCTTGGCTCCCCCCGCAGTCCTGAGCCAAACCGGAGCCATCTTGCAAAGCACTGAGCGAGCACATCCTAGCCAGAGGCAGAGGCAGCAGCAATGCAGCCAGGGAGGGTGGCACACGTGGGCTCAAAGCGTGGCTACAGGCAGGCTGGCGCACGGAAGGAGCGGGCTGAATGAGCAACGAGAGGAAGGAGGCCCCACCTTCGGCCGTCGGAGTGCTCTTAGCATCAGGGGTTTCAGAGCCCGGTTCCTCGGATCGGTCATCCGCGGGGGTCCGCAGGGGAGATTCTGGAACATACACAGTGAGCCCCTTAGAATGGCCGCCTCTCCCCACCCCTCCTTGGACCTCAGGAGGAACTCAGGAGCAGTATCTTTTGGAGCCAAAAATCACTCAGCGTGGAACCCAGATGGATGGAATGTGACTGTGTGATAAAATCACAAAGGGGACCGATCCCACCCCCCAACACAACGCTGCCCGCACACCAGGGTCATCAGGCAAAGACACAGGTGATGAGTAGTTGTTCTTGGTGAGAGGAGACAACACCTTTTAATCTGCTTGTGGTTCTAGTTGAGACAAGGCTTTTGTATTGACAAATGGCAGCACATACCAGAAAGCTAAGCCACGTGAAGCTGGGGACTCGTCTGTCCTCACTGGAGAGATTCATGCAAGATCGATACCAGTAATTGAGGGCAGGTGGAAAATACTCAGAGCTCCAACTCCTTCCTCTGAAAAGGAATGAGCTCAGGACAGACACGGGGCCTACTTCTCACTGAACAGTGGTGTCTAGACTTCACCCAAGTCCTCTCAGGGGAGGGTGTCCAAGTACTCACTAACCAGCCTTGAGTGACACCGGAAATGTCAGCCACGGTTACTTATAAGAAAACCGTCCTTTGCGAATCGGAAGCCAGGAAGCTCTGGTGCACTGTGAGGGCCACTCCTCCTGGGGCGGGGGCGGCCTTGGGGCCAGTTTCAGTGCGCGGAGCAGAACCCCGAGATGAGAAAAGGCAAGTGGTGTGCAAGAGCCCTGTCCCCGGACACCCGGCCCTGGCTGCACCCTCCAGCCAAATAAGGGCCGATTCTAAACAAGCTGCCTGCGCATACAGCTCCCTGGAGCCCGAGCAAAGACCTGAGAACCGCCTCAGACAAGCTGTGGGCAGATGATGGGGCCGTTGGGTCTGGTCATCCCGAACCAACCTTGACTGTCAGAGCACAGGTGAATACAGGCCGCACGGGGCCTCTGGCACACTTGCCCCCCAAAGCCCCCGCCCCCAATCTGTCCCAGCCTGCAATCCTTATCATTTGCATTACACCTGTTGAATGTCTTGGAGGTCGGAAGGAAGGAGAAGCCTCTTCTGAATGTCTTATCTAGAAGGTATAACAGGTTAACCCTTTAGCACATTTTTTTTTCTTAATTCTCAGCTGAGGATATTTTTCTATTGATTTTCAGATAGAATGGGAGGGAGGGAGGGAGGGAGAGAGAAACATCGATTAGCTGCCTCCCGCACAACCCCGACTAGGGCCAGGGATTGAACCCCAGACTCTGGTCCACAGGGCGACGCTCTGATTGCTGAGCCAACCTGCCAGGGTTTTCCTGGACTTTCAAAAGTACAAGTTTTTTATTTGACAACAGTTTTAGATTTACAGTAAAATTGCAAAGATAGTACAGAGAGTGTACCCCAAACCCAGTGTTCCCAATTATTAACATCCTTCATTATTATGGTATATTTGTTGCAACATAATCTATCTATCTATCTATCTATCTATCTATCTATCTATCTATCTATCTATTTTTTTAAAATTCTCACCAGAGGATATTTTCCATTATTTTCAGATAGAGTGGGAGTGAGGGAGGGAGGGAGGGAGGGAGAGAGAGAAACATCGAGTGGCTGCCTCCCGCACAACCCCCACCAGGGCCAGAGAATCAAACCACAACGGAGTTACCTGCCCTTGACTGGAATTGAACCCACGACTCTTCAGTCTGTGGGCCGACGCTCTAACTGCTGAGCCAAACTGGCCAGGGCATAATCTATATTTTTAACTTAATTTTTAAACCAGGCAACCCTAAATAGAGCGTCATTTTTCACTGGCAGAATTCAGTATGCTGTGATTCTAAGTTGGATTCCATCCACGAGAGTTTAATAATGAAGTTCCATGGCGACCTGACAGTGACGAGAGGCGTGTGGGGGGAGGACACATGTGGGCTCAGGTCCTCAGACGAGGCAGCTCTTAGGACCCAGCTGCCCACTGTGGGGAGCTGAAACTTAGCAGCTCAGGCTGGAGCCAGGCTGTCGCCTGGAGGAAGTCAGAATGCACATTTCTTGTTACCATGACACCAGGCAGGAAGTTTTGGGCCAACTAGGAACCCCTTCTCCCCTAGGGCTTCTGGCTGGGCAGCCTCGAGCCCAGGGTCAGCATGCCCACTCTTCCTCCACGTCCTCCACCTGGGAGCGCACTTGCCTAAGCTCCACTGCTCCACTGTGTCTGCTGCTTAGACACAGAGAGAAGCCAGCCTTTGAAACAAGGCCCCCAACGAGTCCTGAAACCTTTCCAAGGCCGGGATCCTTGCTTCTCATGTTCCCACACCCAGGACACCTCTTGGTGACCTGCTTCCTCCAGGGAACCCTCCCGGATAGATGTGCCCAGAAAAGGTCCTACACCACTTCCATTCACTTTCCCACACCCCAGGCTGCAAAGTGTTTTTTAAAATTATTTTTAGCATTAAAAGAGCAAGTAGACTGTGCCATTTTGTCTCCTTGGAAGTGGGTCTGGAGGACAGGGACAGAGTCCTTAAACTGAGGCCAGCTTGGTGCTCCGGGCGGGGATCAGAGGCCTACATTTGGAGCAGAAGAGGGGGCTGTGTGCTCCCTGAACTCGGTAGTCAGACAGTGAAATGAAACGTGTTCGTTTCATTTAGAAGTTGATGCAATGAATTAATGTAGGTACAGTGAGAATCCCAGAGCTAACCAACTTGCCGAATGGGGCCCAGACAGGTCGTGAGGAAGAGATGAAGATAATGTGTAAGGCCACGCATTCTGCATGCTAACGAGTGCTGCTGGTTTACAGGTTACCCGGAGCGGCTAAGGTCTCAGAGAGAGCACTCCGTTGCAATCAGAATGACCAGCCAGGCATCTCGGTCACATGCCATCCATTCACGGGGCAAACTCTCCTCTGAAAGGTACATTTTCAAAGGGGGTCACGTTTTGAGTTTTCTTGGCTCAAATGATGAGGCTTCTCTTCATTAACAATCTAACCCAATAAAACATTTAAAACTTCCTTAAAAATCTGGCTGCAAACCCTTCCTGCTAGTCTTTTCCAGAGCCAGCGGGTTGGCTGCGATTCCTCTGCGCAGGGCTGTGCACTAACCTTTCAGGCTGTGGTCCGCGTCACCCTCGTGGTCTTGCAGCAGGGTGTAGCCCCCCTGAGAGGGGAGCTCTTTCCTGTCCCCGAGCCCGTAGGTCCCAGCATGATCTTCCATCATGTTGAACTCCTGGCGGGGCTCAGCCATCCTGGTTCAAGACCCACCTGGGGAAGAAAGATGGGAAGTTAAGGCTGGGGTGCTGAGGTGAAGCTTAGTGCTTGTGAGGTGGGTGGGGGCAGGGAGAGTACAGTGCCATCTCCCCAGTTCACGGTAGACATGTCCCCACCTGCCCCTTCCCTCTCCAGCAACGTCATCCTGAGCTGGATCTCTCTCTCTCTCCCTTCCTCAAATCAATAAATACACACTTAAAAATGTATCTATTGCCCTGGCCGGTTTGGCTCAGCGGTTAGAGCGTTGGCCTGTGGTCTGGAGAGACCCGGGTTCGGTTCCCGCTAAGGGCATGTACCTTGGTTGCAGTTTGTCCTGGCCCTGGTCGGTCGTGCAGGTGGCAGCCACTCGATGTGTCCCTTTCACATCAATGTCTCTCTCTCTCTCTCTTCCTCTCTCTCCCTCCCACTCTACCTGAACAAAAAATGTCCTCGGGTGAGGATAAAAAAAAAAAAATGTATCTATTTCTCTCATAGTATTTATTTTCTACTTATCTTGGAAACTCCCCTGTTCTAGTAGCTTTCGATTCCTCCCTTTAAACTTTCATATGTTTGGTCTTCATTTTCAATGAGCTATAATCACACCTCAGATCAACCTCATTGGCTACAGTACTGCCAGTGGGCAAAACTTTTGGTCTTCTTATTTCTTACCCTTTAAAGATCTCAGCTATGTTTTTATTTATTTTGAAATGTCTTTAAAATTTTTTCCCGATGTTATCTTCTCTCTTTTTATCCTTTTAGGCTGCTTTTTTCTTTCATTCTCTCCTTTTTATATTTGTAACTTTAATAATTTTTCATAATTTTAATCTATTAGTCTTTCATTTTCCTTTATAATTTGGTAATAGCTGTCTCCTCTGTTTCTGTTTTCATTTCATAACTTCTCTCCCTGGCACCCAGGAGCCCCGAAGTGGGTCAGTTGTTAGGGAAGAGCTGATAACACAAACCGGAGTGGGCGGGGCCTTTCTCTTTCCTGCCCCGGGGCCTCTAGCTCTCAGTTTCGGTGATCAATTAATAATGTCTCCATGGGAAAGGCGTGAAGGGCACACCCGATGCTATGCATCCTCTAAACGAGTTGAGTTGCAGAATGTTTTAAAATCCACAGTGTCATCTCTATCGGTGTTAGGCAACTCACATAATGGTGAACTAAAAGGTGGAGGGTACCCCTGGGGCAGACCCTCCACATAACTCTTCCAAGACCAGCGTTGGTGGTGGGACAGCCATCTCTGGCACTGTTTATACCAGCTGGCCACTGGCATACTCATGCCAGCTTCATTCTTCCAGGCAGGCCACGCTGCTGTGGGTGCCTGAGCTCTCTTCTCCATGCACCGTGCAGGGTAAGAAGCTGGCGAGAGCTGGGATGGTGGAGGAAGGTTTTCAGAATGAGGTCAGCAGGACTCTGCTGGGTGAGGCAGAAGGTGGGGCCTGACCCCTTTTGGGCAGCCCAGCTTGCAGAGAAGGGGCGCCTTTTCATGCTGACTGAGGCCCTTGTCCCTCGGAGAGCTCTTGGGAAAGGCATCTGAGACTGAGCTTCTCTGAAGCTTTGCCATCTTCCCAAGGATGAGCAGGACTTTTTTTTGGGAAGATAAAAGTCCCCATTCAAACTTTCAGGGTTAGGATTTGGTGGTGACATTCTTTACCCTTGGTCTGTTTCCCTTAGAAAGCCCCCAAACATAAGAACCCCTCTTCTGAAAGGCACCAGTTCCATTATCTGAGGACTCAACCACTGCCTCCCGCCCCTCCAGGAAGTAACACCTGCCTCATTCTTCCCGATGGAGCCTCTCTCAGGACGTCCGGGGTTCACTGCCCAACTGCTCATCCCGGGGACTGGTCCATGAGTCACCTCATCTGGCTGACTCACCAGGAGCCCCACCCTGCAGGGGTGGAATTAGTCCAGAAGCTTGAGGCGTCCCTAACTTGCTTGAGACACGACACCTGGCCCAGGTGAGGCGGGCCAGTCAACTGAGCTAAGGTTTTAGTGAACACTAAGAAGTTTAAGGAGCCCCATGGTTTTGTCTTGAGATTTGACTGACTCCTTTCAATGACTCAGTTTGCCTCCTGCAACATGTGGATGAAGGTGTAAAAGTAAAAATCTGATGGGTTGGCTTCCTCTTTCATAAAATGCCCATTTATATCCTTTGCTTCTCTGTTCAGGTCTTGGTGTGCATTGTAATGACTTGAGTGGGCTCTTATTTTATGAATAACATTAACCCTTTATCCTATTTGTGACAAATAGTTTCTCCAGTTGGTTGCCTCTTATTTTGGTTTCTTGTGGCTTCTGACTGACAGGTTTTAATTTTCATACAGTCAAATCTATTTTCTTTTGTGATTTATGCCACTGCTCCATGATACATAAATATCATCAATATTTTCTGCTATGTTTTTTCTTTTCTTTTTTTTTTTATCTTCACCCGAGGACATTTTTGCATTTATCTTCAGATAGAGCAAGAGGGAGAGAGGGAGGAATAGGGAGAGATAAGTATCGCTGTGAGAGAGATGCATTGACTGGTTGCCACCCACACGACCCCAACCGAGGCCAGGGACAAACTGCAACCGAGGTACGTGTCCTTGGTGGGAACCGAACCCGGGTCTCTCTGGTCCACGGGCTGACGCTCTAACCACTGAGCAACCGGCCAGGGCTCTGCTATGTTTTTAGTGATCGAATTCTTTGTATCTAATTGAACTGCAGTGGGAAAGCAGACATCCACAGGTACCTAAGTGAGTGGGCACGGATGGCTGTGCTCCAATTAACTTTATATCTGGATACTGAAGTTTGAAAGGCATATAATTTTCATGTGTTATGAAATAGCATTTTTCTTTTCTTTTTTTTCCAGCCATGTGAAAAATGTAAAAGCCATTCTTCACTCACAGCGGGTTTGGCCTGTGGGCCGTACCTCACGGACTCCTGCGTTCAGCCTTTCTAGCGTTTCTTCTCTCTCAATCGTAAAAACAACCTGTAACGTAAGTCTTAGCAAGAATCACTGCGCACTTTGGTCGCTGCCTATATTCGCACTGTGGTGTTTTGCATTGGATGTTGTGTTTTCTTCAGCTGCTCCTAGAGTTTTCCATAAGGTTTTAAGTCAGGAGCAGGAGAACTAAGGGTCATTCCTGGGGCCCGAGGCAGCAGCCCATTTTTCCGGGGACCTGCAGCCAGAGTGTACGCCCTTCAGCTGCCAGGCTGCCTAGCTCGGGCCCACGGAGCAGATAACAGGGTGGCGGGTGGTGGTGCCCTGGCGTCTAATGATCCCCCTCCCACCAGCACCACCCCTGCAGGGCTGGAGAAAGTCAGATGCACCAATAGGAAGCTGAATGAGTTACATGGGCTGCTGGAGAAATTAAATCATCCTTGAAAACACAGGCAGCTATTCACTATGCAAAATAAATGAACTGTGTGCTTCTCAAGGGCCACTATTTTCCTTTGGGGAAAAAAGTGAAATGCAAGGGAAGAACTCCTAATCAGGGAGGCTCACCACGCCACCCCGCCCCACCATTCCCGACAGCAACGCCCTTGGGTTCACGGATCTTCTGAGGCAACGAGGCTGCAGCCCCAGGGCCTGGCACAGTCAGTGCCACACGGCCCCTGTCGAAGAAGGAACTTGTTCCATGTGGGCACCTCACAGGCGTGTCACTGGACCCTCACAGCAATCCTGTGAGGTAGTTATCATCATTGTCATCAGCACAGATATTAAGATTTCTATTGGACAGATGAGGAATCTGGGACGTGACCTGCCCAGGGTCACACAGCCAGTAGGAGACGATGCCGGATACAAAGCCTGTGTCCTGTCCCTCACGGCCTGTTCTTCCATCCTGGACCATGTGATGTTCCTCAGCTTTCTGTCGGGCACAGGTCTGGGTGTGGAAGGACCGTGGTCCAGGATTTATACCCTGAAGCTGTGTGACCAAGTCACTTTTCTCAACTGTCTTCATGCACAAAGTGTCACTCATTGACCTCTGAGGTCCCTTCTTGCTCTGACAGTTTATTCTAAGTGGGTTCGCTGGGCCTGTTTCCTCTTGCTCCGGAGCCCCGTGGCCATTCACCGGACAGCAGGGCTCTAGCCCAGGCCTGGGGGAGAGGCAGGAGCCCTGGCATCTCCGCACCTCCCTCCTTTCCCATTCCTCTCTGACCCCTGCCACCTTCCTCCTTGAGAACCAGGGCAGGATGATTTCTCTGCAAGAACTGGACAAAGAACATGTAAACCAACTGACCACTGGCACGGCGCACATCCCGGCTCTAAGACTCTCATGCAGAGGCAGCAGACTATAAACACACAAATAGGCTTGGCCCTGAGGTGGGTACACAGCCCAGACTAGACATGGTCATCACCTCCCGGACCCCTGTAATCTAAGAGAGACACACAGACGGGAAAATAAACACACCAAGAGCTTTCTTTGTTTTCTTATTCTTCCGAATCAACCAGCCTCTCCCTCTCCCTCCCCGTCTCCCTCTCTCTTTCTCTCTGATTTCCTACCTCCTGTCTTCCCAGGCAGTGACTTAGAGGCAGCAGGATGGGAGGGAAGGAAGAAATTTTAGGAGAGGAACATAAGTTGAGTGAAACCTGGGAACTAAAATGAGCCACTCTTTAGGGACCCTGGGAAAAGTACTGCATCTCGACCAGAGAAAGCGTGAACCCAAGGCTACTGGCGTCTGTCCCTGTCATTTAGTAACTGCGTAAATGGAGGCCCCTGAGGGGAAGGAGCCTGTGGAGTTGTTCTGGGGCCTTGTCCCAGAGGGGCACACCCCAGTCCAGCGCTGCTTGCATGGGCACAGTGGGGGTGGGGCAAAGAAAGGGAGAAAAGTGTCCATAGGGTTGAGGGGGACAGAGGAACCAAGAACACAGTCTAGTCCAGCTGGTGTGGCTCAGTGCTTGAGCATCGACCCATGCACAAACAGGTCGCCAGTTCGATTCCCAGTCAGGGCACATGCCCAGGTTGTGGGTCAAATCCCCAGTGGGGGGCATGCAGGAGGCGGCCAATCGATGTTCTCTCTCATCAATGTTTCT